TTAAAAGTGCTTCAAACAGATGGGAACATAGCATAGCCTGGAATTCCATCAGAGTCTCCCTCACAGGTGGCAGGAACTCTAGCACATGGGTCCTCTTCCCCTGCCTCCCCAGGTGCACTCGCATGGAGCCGGATCGGAAGTGGAGCAGCCAGGACTCTAACTGGAGCTCTGACATGGCCTGCAGTCTTGGCAAGCGTGGCTTAACGGGCCGTGCCACATCAGCCCATGAAAATTTTTTTAAAAAATCTATCTTTCCATTCCATTTCCCTTGAACTTTTTAAGGTACTGATGAAAACTGCTCGAACATGCCAAGTTAGCAGCAGGGAGAGAGAAACAGCCTGTCAAGGCCTCGCTGATTCAGATCTGCACCAGGTGCCCCTCCAGCTGCGGGAGGCCGCCCAGACCCCACCCTGCTCTGCAGGGCGTGGGGTGTGAGGCAGGAAGGTACTGGGTGGACCCAGGGCGTTAGATCAGGGGAACAGGGAACCAGCGAGCCCACAGAGGGACAGGGAGGAAACAGATGCAGACCCCAAGCTGCACAGGAAGTGCCAGGACAAGGAGGAAGGGAGAGGCGAGGAAACGCTCAGAAACAGGCATCTGGGAGAACGTACAGGTCCACGCCGGGAGCGCCCCACGTGGGGCCCTCGGCACCGAGTCCGTGCTGCTCCCCAGACTCCCTGTGTAGCCCGGGGACCCCTTGGGTCCAGTATCATCTCACCACCCCTGCCCAGCACTGCCCAGCGTGGCAGCAGGTGGTGGTCTGGAGCACCCTTGCAGATATCACCAAATCCCTCAGCTTGGCATCCTGGCCATGAGAGGGTTTCCCCGTGGACGGCGGTGCCATCACCAGGTGCCCCCAGGCGCTCAGGCCATTCCTCAAGTACAGGTGCAATTGGAAGCACTAGGGACCAAAAACACCATGATGACGTGAAACACCGCCCTCCCACCCCCCACTCAGAGCCTTGCAGGGAGAGGAGGGGCCATGTACTCACTCCCCCCCCCCGGGAGGACTGCTGGGTGCCCACCCCCTGGGAAGGGCCAGGGCACTCCATTCTGAAGAGGCCAAGGCCATCTAGCCTGAGGACTGAGTTAGGGAGTTTTCCTCCACCAGGATGTCTCTACAACGAAGGCCTGCACTGCTTCCTCCAGCCTTGTTTGTACCTGGGCACAACATGGGGAGCCATGGGGCAGCAGGTGGGGGTCACAGGGCCCATGGCACCTTATCCAGCCACAACAACATCGTGGAAAGCCACACGCAGGAGAGCATGAACAAAGCTGGAGCCGATGCTGTGGTATGGCCTCTGCCTGTGGCTCCTACATTCCACATGGGTACTGGTTCGAGTCCTGGGTGTTCCACCTCTGATCCAGCTCCCTGCTAATGTGCCTGAGGAAGCAGTGGGGGATGGTCCCAGTCCTTGGGCCCCCACACTCCCATAGGAGACCCAGAGGAAGCTCCTGGCTCCTGATTGGGCCCAGCTCCAGCTGGCGAGGATATTTGGTGAGTGAATCAGTGGATGGAAAATCTCTGTGTCTCTCCTCTCTCTGTAACTCTGCCTTTCAAATAAAAATAAAGAAATCTTTAAAACATTCCTAAGAAAAATACTATAATGTGTTATTTAAGCATTGCTCCTAGAGAGAAGCAGCAGGAGCGTCTGCTTTTTTGTGTCTCTCCAGGTTTCAGCATTGAAGAGGCATGTCAGTGAATGTGCAGAAGGAACACGCAGGGGCCAGCGTGGTGGCGTAGCAAGCTCATTCTCTGCCTGTGGTGCTGGCATCCCATCTGAGCGCTAGTTCGAGTCCCAGCTGCTCTATTTCCCATCCCGTTCCCTGCCACTGTGCCTGGAAAAGCAGTGGAGGTTGGCCCAAGTCCTTGGGTCCCTACACTGACATGGGAGATCTAGAAGAGGCTTCTGGTTCCTGGCTTTTGAACTGGCTCAGCTTGGGCTGTCACAACCACTTGGGGAATGAATTAGTTGGATGGAAGATCTCTCTGTGATTCTTTCAAGTAAAATAATATTGAAAAAACAAACAAAAGCAACCCCCAGGGGACCAGCATTGTGGTGCAAAGGGTCAAGCCAGCCCGTGGGATGCTGTCTCACAACAGAGCACAGGTTGGAGTTCCGGCTGTTCCACTTCCCAAGCCAACTCCCTGCTCATGCCATTTGGGAAGCAAACCAGAAGACGGAAATATGCTGTCTCTGTCCCCATGTCAGGGTCCTGGCTCTGAGGGTGTTGACTACTGCTCATGCCCCAGCAGATCGCCCTTGAGGGCAGCCCAGAAGCCCCCTCCTGCCCCTCCTCCACGGGGACAGAACACGGAACATAAGGCAGGGGTTGGCCTGGGGCACATAGGGCCCCTCCTGATTCACAGGGCTGTTCTCAGCCATGACGGAGGCTGAAGTCCCCTACCCCCGTCCTGGGCTGTGCATTCCCAAAAGGAAACCCAGACGTGAGATGTGCCGTGTCCTGCAGGTTCCGTGAGACCTTGCCTCCCAGCCTGGGTGGATGTGTGCAGTCCAGGTTCACACAGCACTTCCCGGCAGCTGGTGCAGCTTCCTCACCTGTCCAACACCCTGCTCGGCCCCTCAGGAGATGACACATCAACGTGCATGGCTATGCTGGTGCCAACATCGTGGCACAGTGAGCTAAGCCACTGCCTGTGACACCAGCTTCCAATTCACTAGTGCAGATTGTTGAGTCTACCTCTGGTCAAGCTCCCTGCGACTGGTCCAAACATCTGGGCCACTGTTACACATAAGGGAAGCCAGGGTGAAATTCTGGGGCTCCCGGCTTCAGGCTGGCTTAGGCCCGGCTGTGGCAGCCATGTGGAGAGTGAAGCAGCGGGTAGACCAGCTCTCTCTCTAGCATTCTGCCCTCTAAATAAACAAAATAAATACAAATGAAACTTTTTAATTTAAAATAATTACACCTGGAGGGATTGGCATTGTGGCGTTCATAATCAGCCACTGCCTGTTATGGTGGTGTCCCATCTGGGTACCGGTTCCAATCCCGGTTGTTCCACTTCTAATCCAGCTCCCTGCCAGTGCACCCAGTGGAAGATGGCTGGAGTGCTTGGGCTTTTGCACTCACACGGGAGTCCTGGGTGAAGTTCCTGCCTCCTACTTGGCCCAGGTTTGGCCACTGTGGTCATTTGGGGAGTGAACCAACAAATGGAATTTCTCTTTCTGTCTTGCCCTCCCTCTCTGCAACTCTGCCATGCCTATAGATAAAATAAATCTTTAATAATAAAAAGAATTACACACGGGAGAGTGGCAGATCAAAAGCCAACACTCACTGAGAAACCCCCGTTTTCTGTTCCCGCAGTCAGAAGGAACAGGCCAAGGTGGGGCAAGCTGCTCCCCAAAGCAGCAGCCTTTTCAACGAGACCTGCTTAGAGTGCCCAGAGGATGGCACTGTGCTAGCAGCTTCTGCCTCTCCCCCACATGAGAGCTTGGTGTGGTGAGCAGAGACAGAGCAAACATCAGGATGCTTGGGCAGGGGCCCAGGAAACAGCAGGCAGGGGAGAGACAAGAAAGCACACAGCCCTACGTGACCTCTTTTCTAGGGGGTCCTGGCACACGGCTAGCCTGGCACGCCCGAGGCAAGACAGAGGAGCACCCTAGCATGCTTTCACAGGGGGCACCGGGGAAGCTGTTGTCGGATGGAGTCCTTCTGCATGCCTCCAGCCTCTGTTTTTCAGTACCAAGGCCCGCAAGCCGGTCCAAGGGCCACACACGGGAGGCCAGCCCAAGGGGCGGGGGGGTTGGGAAGCAGCCCCTTTGTCCACTGAACTTAGGGAAACACACAGCAACTTCTGATCTCGGGCTCTCACCCACAAAGCTCATCACTTCCCATGCTCTGGTGGGTCTGTCTCCCCCAGCCCATGCGGACTGGTGGTCTCTCTTTGGCCATTAAATCTCTTAGCCTGGACAGGAAGAAAATGCCCAGGTCAGCACGTCTCATCACCAGACCTTCCGGGGGGCCTGTGACTAACATGCCTTTAGTTCGAACTTTGGGTCCATTCGGAACCATTCTCAGTCCCCTCTGGGGATTGGGAATGCAGCCCCCTTCCCCTCCTCCCCCTCCTCCCCCTCCTCCCCCTCCGCTCTGCCCCAAGCAGGAAATGAGAGCCACTTTTCTGCCCACTCAGCAACTGGACTCACAACGTTGTGGCCACTAGGCCAGCCCAGCACCTGGGGGGTAGAGTGGGGAGGGGAGTTGGGACCCTATGTCTCGCCCCCACATTCCTCCTCTCCCACCTCTTTTCAAAAGAGGAATCCAGACAGCAAACATTAACCACGAGTGGACGGCAGCAGCCCAGCCATGGCAAAGGCATTTAAGATTAAAAACTGCAAAAGAGGGGGGATGGAAAAAGCGAGGAGAACAAGGAACGAAGGTGGGCTACCCGTGTCTGCCCTGGTGGGAGACTCCGGCGCACCGGCTGCTGCGGGTTACTCCAGAGTCCTCAGTCCTACCAGCCGCCCAAAAGGCCTTCCCCAGTCCACCATCCACCCAGCCTGGAAACCCAGAGCGCAGGTGACCAACACAGCCGGCCCTCGCCCCCACGCAAGAGCCGCGCGGGACGCAAACCCTCGGGGCCCCTCCGCGGGAAGCAACTGCGTCCGCAGCGGGAAGCTCCGCGCGCTGGGAGCCGAAGGCCGCGAGGCCGCAGCCCGAGGGCCGGCGGAGTTTCCATGCCTCAGCACCTCCGCGGGCCGCCTTCTCCCTGCACCGCCCGCTCCAGCTCGGGTTCGAAGCGGCCGCCACAAGAGGAAGAGGAAAGCGAACTTTGGCTGGCGGTTTGGGGGGGACCCGCGGACGGCAGCAGGGAGAACTCGAGAGCCCAGCCCCGCCGTGGAGAAGTAGGGGGAAGTCTTCGTCGAACCAACCCGGCTGGCTTGAAGACGCTGGGGTAGGAGGTACCCGGGCACTACCCTCCCTGGCCCCTACGAGGAACCCGGCCCACGTCCCCCCACGCACCCTTCCGCTCGCTCTCTCACCATCTGCGCCACTTTGAGCAGGGCCGCGAGGGTGCGGGGGTAGCCGTGGTCCAGCAGCCCCTCCGAGGGGCCGGCGCGCCCCAGCTGGCCCGCGCCGGCCCCAGGTCCGAGCGCGCTGCCGCCGCTGCTGCACGTGGTGCGGACGAGCCCCGCTCCGTGCGACATCGCGCGGCCCCCAGCGCGCTGGCCGCGGCCCCCGGGGCCAGATAAGGAGAGGCGGGCCGGGCCGGGGCGGGCCTGGGCGGGGCGGCCTCGGGCTGCGGCCGGGCGGGCGCCGGGGAAGGGCGAGGCGCCGGCGAGTCCTGCCGCCGCCTCCGGAAGGGAGCGCACGGCCGCCCGGCCCCGGCGGTGTACGCAGGGGATCCCGGGGTCGAGGGCGCCCCGGGCCCAGCTGGGCTCGGCGCCCCCAGCTCCGTACACCGCGAGGACGCGTGCTCCGGGCACCTGGTCCATGTTCACTACCCCGCAGCTGGTGTTTTGCCCGACGGGTGCGTTGGACCCGTCTGTGCTCCGGGCGGCGGCCAGCGTAACCTGCCACAGCACTGTGTAGAGGTTGGTGGACTGCCTGTATTTGAAATAAAGTCTTAATTACCGTTTGTCTTGTTTCCTCCACTCAGCGTTGAGGCTTTTAAAGACTCAGACTGTTGGCAAGACACGTAGTTCCTATCCCGAGTTCCATCCTTTTTATGGCTGAGTAGCTTTCCTCTAAGTGAAAACACGTTTGCAAGGTTCCATCATTCACCTGTTGATGCACACCTAGCGCTCTTTACGCTCTCTCCCCCTTCTGCCTATTGTTTCTAATAGAACCCGCGTACCAGTCATCTAAGTGACTTTCTTCGTGCTAGTCCTTCCCAGGCCAGAAGCCAGGAACTCCATCCAGGTCCCCAACGTGGGCGGATGGCAGGGGCCCAGCTACTGGAGCCATGCCCCACTGCCTCCCAGGGTGTGTATTCGCAGGGCGCCGGAATGGGAGTCCTTGCTAACGCATCCTGGGCCACAGCTAGGTCAGGAGTGGAGGAGCCAGGACTTGAACGAGGCCCTCTGATTACAAGCAGCAGCTCAACCCTCCACAACACTACAGCAGCCGCCAACCAATAGTTTTAGGGGTTCCTGAGTGATTGAGTCCCCTTGTTAGAGTCAGGTGCTGGGGAAGACACCTCACCTGCCAGGTGTGTGGTAGGCAGGTTGCGGGAGGAGGTGCAGGTGGGAATTTTCCAGGTGGGAATTCTACAGGATTACATGACAGGTGGCATTTTACAGGAGGCATCATGCTGCCTTGGGTTTAAACCCTAACTACTGCCCACCAGCCTGGTGAAGGTGGGAAATTTCTACCCCCCTCTGGGAGTTAGTTTTCCATCTAAAAAATGAGGACAAAAACTCACATATACCTCCTGACCCACTTATCCTCCTGTGATGATCAAAGAACCCCCAACGGATTTTAGCTTCAAATGATATATCCTGTGGCTGGTGTGTATTGTGATGAAATGGGTTAACCCATGACCAATGGTGCCAGCATCCCATCTGAGTACCAGTTTGAATTCCAGCTGCTCCACTTCCAATCCAGCTCCTTGCTAATGCACTTGGGAAAGCAGCAGAGGATGGCCCAAGGACTTGGGCCCCTGCCACCATTGTGGGAAACCAGGATGGAGTTCTTGGTTTTTGGCTTCAGTGTGGGGCAGCCCTGGCTGTTTGGGGGAGTGAACCAGCCATTGAAGATCTCTCTCCATTTCCTCTTTATAACTCTGCCTTTCAGATAAAATCTATCTTTAATGTATCCCCTCTTGGCTCTGATGTAGCTGGGCTCAGTGAGGTGGTTCTCTCTTGGAGCCCCTCCTGCTGTGGCAGTCAGATGGCAGCTGGGCTAGCCTCCTCCTCCCAAGGCTCATTTGGGTTGTAGCTCCCAGATGGATCTTTGACATGGCTATCTAGCAGAGTGTCTCCATGGGCTTCTCTTCCAGGCTTGGGCTTGGAGGGGGAGCACTATAGAGTGAGTATTCCAAGAAGCAGCGAGAGGAAACTGCCAGAGGAGTTCAGAGCTGGGCCTGGAGCTGGAACGTCAGGACTTTCCTGATGTTCTGCTGGTCACAGCATTCGTCCCTGAGGCCTGTGTGCGCTCAAGGGGTGTTTCATTAGGAAGCCGCATCCTTCTTATGGTTGTGACCACTACTGGAAAACACTATTGTTCAAGCCTTCCAGGAGGATTAAATCAACCAAGGCATGGAAAGCCCATGGCGCAGGCCTGGCACTTTTTTTAAAAAAATGATTTATTTACTTTTATTGGAAATGCAAATTTACAGAGAAAGACAAAGATCCTCTATCCGCAGGTTCACTCCCCAAGTGGCCACGACAGTTGGAGCTGAGCTGATCTGAAGCCAGGAGCTTCTTCCAGGTCACCCATGCGAGTGCAGGGTCCTAAGGCCTTGGGTTGTCCTTTACTGCTTTCCCAGGCCACAAGCAGGGAGCTGATGGGAAGTGGAGCAGCCGGGACACGATCTGGCACCCATATGGGATGCTGGTGGATGCAAGGCGAGGACTTTAGCCACTAGGCTCCCCGCGCTAGGCCCCAGGCCTAGCACTCGTCCTCAGCAGTGTAATGGCTGCCCAGGGGCTTGACAGCAAGTAGTGGCCCTCTCTCCTCCTCCCCTGTGGACACAGGAGAGAATAAACACAGGGTCTGAAGGGTGTGTCTCCCCACCTTCCTCTGTATCTCACCCTCCCCACTGCTGTCAGAAGCCCATGCGGGCATGCATCTCTCTTAACTATGTAAGCAATGTTAAAAACAAAAAATTTTAAGTAAGTGCAGAAGCTGTCCTGGGCGCCATCTGACATGCTTGGCACTGGCCACCATGCCCGGCATGTAACATTTTCCAGTTCAGCAGTGGAGAACTGACTGCCATGGAATTATGCTTAATTGCCATAATAGGGCCAAGAATAAACGTGACTAGGATTGAACAAGTCAGATCGACTTCATTGCTCTGTTAAATTAAGACTGTCCGCATGAATGTTCAGGCTGTATTAACTGTGGTGCCTACAGAATAATCCTCGATTGCAAGGGGGTTCGGGGAGTAGAGGGAGTGAATGAAAAGAGCATTGGATACAGTTACACCTGCCTGATGTCTCAGACATTCGGAGGATCAGCCGCCACGTCTGCAAATGGGGCTGGTATTGCTCACCCCCGGGGGTCGGGAGGGGACCCCAGGGGACTGTCCATGTTCAGGTATGCACACACACTGGTGGAATCTCAAACAGGTTAGGATGAAACGTGGCCAGGCATGGCACTGAAAGACCAAAGTGCAAATGCACCTGAGCCAGGTCCTGGCAAAAAGCAAAACCAGGTCCGGGGTTGCCCTGGGTTTAGACCTGACCCCTTCACTCACCACCCCTGTGAAGGGGCTCTGTACACACCTGCAAGGTCAGGAAAAGTTGCTGATGTGGCTTCCCAAACACAGGCCATCTGTCCTCAGGCTTGGACTCTGCTTGCACGAGACAGTAGGACACAGGCTCTTCTCTAACGACCTCTTGTCATTCGGATTGTCATCCCGCGGCAGGTACTGGCTAATGTTCGCTTGCTTCAGCCGGACTGACAGGAACGGCAGGTCTGGTGCTGGCCATGAGGTCATGGGAATGTTTCAGGCAGTAAAGATGGCGACCACTGTCACACATTTCCAGGCCCTGTCCTGTGCATCTGCTTTCTGTCTCTGAGCAGACCGTGGGGTTCCAGAGGATGACCTGCTTGGAGGGTACCTTGCAGGCGAACTTGCAGGTGAGTCACTTACCCGTACTCCCGGACAGTCCTTCTAGAAGGAGTAGGATAACAGGAAAACACCCTAAAGGCCAGTTTTGTTTTCCGTGCCATAGAGAATAAGCAGGGGGTGGTCGGCCTGTCACCGAGGCCAGGTGGATGTCACTGTCTCCACTTGTGAAAGGCTTAAAGAGGAACACGCTGGGAGGCACCGAGAAGGCTGTTGGCACACCACCCAGATGGCAGGCATCGGCAGTGCTTTGTGCCAAGGCTGTCTGCCCGCAGCAGGATTTCTCCAGGGAAGTCACAGCAGAAAAGGGAGGGGAGGGGATGCCAAGAGGGGAGGAGAAGTGAGACCAAGATGGATGGACGGACTGACACATGGAAATGAGATTCTGGGGAAAAGAAAGCCTTGCCATTTGTTAAGAGCTGCACTGTATCTCCTTTCCCCAAATCTAGATATTAAAAAAGTTTGGGGCCCGGCGCGGTGGCGCAAGTGGTTAAAGGTCCTCGCCTTGCACGCCCGGGATCCCATATGGGCGCTGGTTCTAATCCCGGCAGCCCCGCTTCCCTTCCAGCTCCCTGCCTGTGGCCTGGGAAAGCAGTCGAGGACAGCCCAAAGCTTTGGGAACCTGCACCTGCGTGGGAGACCCGGAAGAGGCTCCTGGCTTCGGATCGGCATAGTATCGGCCCGTTGCGCTCACTTGGGGAGTGAATCATCGGACGGAAGATCTTCCTCTCTGTCTCTCCTCTCTGTATATCCGCCTTTCCAATGAAAAACATAATAATAAAATAAATCTTTAAAAAAAAAAGTTTGAAATCATAAAAATGTTTCATAATACACATATACACGTTTTATATGCACTTTTAGCAGATTCTTCATATGCATGAATCTCAAAATTTTTGCACCAAAAGGCACATTTTTTTTCAAAAAAGTATTTGGGCCCGGCATGGTGGCCTAGTGGCTGAAGTCCTCGCCTTAAATGCACCAGGATCCCATATGGACACCGGTTCTAATCCCAGGAGCCCCGCTTCCCATCCAGTTCCCTGCTGGTGGCCTGGGAAAGCAGTTGAGGACAGCCCAAAGCCTGCACCTGTGTGGGAGACCTGGAGAAGGTTCCTGGCTCCTGTCTTCGGATCGGCCCAGCACTGGCCATTGCGGTCACTTGGGGAATGAATCTCCACACTGCAGTGCCTGGCTTAAGTCCAGACTCGGCGTTCTCACCAGCTTCCTGCTGATACCCACACGCGCGGCAGCAGGTGCCAGCCCCGAAGGAGACCCGGATGGAGTGCCAGCTTCCTGGCTTTGGCCTGGCTCAGCCCTAGCTGCCGTGGCCATTGGGAGGTGGAGCAGTAGAAAGTAAATTCTCTCGCTCTCCCTTCTTTCCAATCAAATGGGAATAAATGAGCTGCCTCCCACCTGTTGCTGCTGCCCTTGG